CATAACCCTAACGCCCCTCCCACCTCATCAACATCTCTTCTCTGATAGGTGTTTATAGAGATCCACCAATAGCAAACCACAACTATCCAATCAGGTTCTCGCGGAGACCGAAGCCCCGCCCACATCTGTCCTGCTCTAGAATCGGGAGAAAAGAGGCGCTCCAGCACACACACACACACACACACACACACTCCTCTAGCTGACAGATGAGGAAACTCGGCTGTAACACTGTCGTACAGCAGTGCACGGGTTTCCTTCCGAACTGAAATCTCAGCATCAGCTCCATCCCGAACACACGGAGAGACTCTGATCGATCAGTTCAAGAATCGATTACAGACAGAAGAGCTTAGGCCTCCTCTAGCACACATACAGTCATGCCCGTAGTGCTGGACACACACACACACACACACACACACACACACACACACACTAAAACCCAATGAGATGGGAATCAGCAGAGGAATACACAGGTCTAACAGCAGCATCTGCGCGCGCGCGCGTGCGTGCGTGTGTGTGTGTGTGTGTGTGTGTGTTCTGGAGGAGAAACACTGACAGGAGGAGGACTGTAGTTTAATATCTAATAATGGCCGACACTGAATCCCGCTCGGCTGATGATGATGATGATGATGATGATGATGAAGATATAAATGTAACGCAGTTCCACTGTGCGCTAGATCAGGCGCATGCGCAGATGATCATGAGGATGATAGTGATGGAGGTGAGCATCTTCATCATCCTCACCGCTCTCCCGCCGCTCCGCTCTCCATTCTCCGCCGGTCAGTCCTCACCCGCGGCCCGCTGCTGCCCCCTCATACCGGTGCCGGTGCTCGGTGTGTGTGTCTGTGCTGGATCCGCGGCTCTTCAGCTCACACTGACCTACATCAGCCGAATCAGAACAGCAGCTGAACTGCGCATGCGCCTCTGCATTGATCAACGCGCCCACAGAAATCTCCGTTCACTGTAAATTAACGCCGGTTTGGTGTCATCACGGACACCGAGGAGCCTCCGCTGCCTACAGCTGGCCGATCACAACTACGTTTAATTCATTTTGGTGCAGTTTGTTTCGGTTAAAGCGAATGAGCGGCCAGTGATGACGTGTCATTCGCGGCGGTGACGTGTAGATAAATCTGCATATATGCTAATGAGCTGTGTTCTGGAGCTCACTGATAATAAGCTGATGTGCATCAGGTGTGTGTTGGAGCCTGCATGCAGCATCACACACAGCTCAGCCTCAGGGTCAAGCTGAATAACAGGAGGAGTTCACACGCGCATGCGCTGCTCATTCAGTGGCCCATTAATGAAGGTGCATTTAATAACAATATAGGCTCTTACTGGCTTTATAGCTCTCGATAGGTGTCATGTCATCGTGTGTCTTTGTGCATATTGTGGTGTTGTGTAGTATTGGGTGGATAAAGAAATGTATCATACAACCCAACTCAATCTGTTTTATTAGTGCGTCCTCAAACTGAGTCTTAATGAAACCGTGTGCTGTTGAAGAAGAAGAAGGCAATATCCTTCAGCTCAGGGTGTGCAGAAGCTGGAATAGGTCAGTGTGTTCTGCATTTCACACACACTATGAAGCAGGGGTGGGGTAGCTGTGGCTCTCGAGACACATGTGGCTCTCCAGCTGTCTGCCTTCAATATTATTTTACAGTTTAACTTTAACCATCACTAAAAATCAGTTTCCTCTCGAAACACTACAATTACACTTTAAATCGTCACTTTACACAGCACAAAGGACGTTTCGACTAATGTGTGTTTGTGGCAGTGTGGATAAACTTGAACTGCGACAACAACAAAGGGCAAACATCTTACGTTTCTATGGTAAATTATATTTAAATAACAATTATGAGAGATGATGGCCAAAATAAAAATCCTCTTAATTGTTGTTTCTTCATCATGGAGCTGCTCATCATCTGCTGCTTCATATCGGTTTAATTTTGAGTTGTGCATGGACACAAATTAAGGTTTTGATAAAACCTGTTTTATTTACACTAATAATAACAGTAATATATTAGCAGTAATACTATAATATATTTAGTAATGCATAGTAATGCTGTAGCAAATGCATTTTAAAGAGGCATTTTCAGACACTGTTGAAATCAGAATTATTCGCCTCTCTTTGAGTTTATTTATTTTAAATATTCCCCAGATGATGTTGAACAGATTGAGGAAATGTTCACAGTGTGTCTGATAATGTCTGATCTTCTGGAGAAAGTCTGATTTTGTTTAATTTTGCTAGAATAAAAGCAGTTTTTCATTGTTTAAGCACCATTTGAAGGTCAATATTTGCCCCTTTAAGCTGTTTATTTTCTCGATAGTCTCCAGAACAAACCATCGTTAATCATAACAGTGTTAATAATTCATCTCTAATCACTGATTTATTTTCTCTTTGTCATGATGACATAATGATTACCTAAGGTAATCAGGTTAGCTAAGCAGGTTAGGGTAATTAGGCAAGAGATGTGCTGGAGAAATCTGCTCTCTGATAAACAGAAAATGGGGAAAAATAAACAGGGGGGGGATGAGATAAGTCTGACCTCCGCTGTGAACACATCTAAATGGCTCTTTAAAAATGCATTTGCTAAAAGAACACAGAAATGGCTCTTTGCTGAAAAAGGGTTCCCGACTCCTGCTATAAGCTAACATTTAGCAATCAAACAAACACAGTGACACACTGATGCCTGAAGCCGGAGAGCTGCCGTGTAGGATGAACGTCTCCAGTGTTAGAGAGATGACTCCAGTATCTGCTAATGTAATGATGCTGATGCTTCTGGACAGGTGCAGTACCGGCAGAGACCAGCAGGGGCTCCGCAGCTTAACCAGTGCACTGTGTCCTGGACCAGTCCTGGACTGTACTGGAGTACACTGGTCAGCGCGGCTGCTCTACACGTTCTTCCCGAATGCCACCCGTGGACTGGACCGCGGCGCCCGGGGCTCGATGCCGTCTGAAATGACCCAGATGGCGGGGGTGAACCGGCCGCCCTCCATCACCACCTGGATCTCCTCAGCGCGGGCCAGCGCCTCCAGCTCCGGGCTCGTCTCCGGACACCAGTCCGCCATGAACTTATCTCTGGTCTCACACAGGTTGATGTGGATCTCCTCCGGCTGCAGGCCGAACAGGTAATCTGCACACACACACACACACACACACATCAACTCACACTGCGCTCCAGAGGGTGTATCTCAGAATGAAGGTTGATCAGCAGCGGATGTGCTGTATCCTGGTCGCGGCACGGCTACAGAACTCCACTGTTCTCCACTGAGAGCAGACAGGGGTCTGAGCTGTAGTGATGTTCTGTATCTTTAATTAAATGCACAGCTTGCAGACAGATAAACATGATGCACACTACACTGACCTACTTATTAGGGGCCCAGCTCTGAAGGTGTGTAGACACCTCTTGGATCTGCTCCGGTTCTTCTTCTTCTTCTTCTGCTCTGGGTGTTTGCGCAGACTGTGGCGCACTGATAGAGGTCAGTCTGGTCTTCAACCACAACAAATGTGCTCTCTCTAACTCAACTCTCCAGCGCCACCACTTATCTTTACAGTTATAACTGCGACTGGGCTACGATCTGATTCTGCTACCATCCGAAATTTACACCGGTGGAGCATGCCGAGTCGAGTGGTGTCTGCTTCTCCCAGGTCAGCCATGTTGGCCGTCGCCTGGTTTGAACATTTCTGTTTAATTCATTGAAGCTCGGCATGTGTGTTCAGGATGTATGTTAGATCTGTCATTATGGCCTCACACTGAGCACACCATAAACATTTGATGACAGCGCCACCTATGGGTCAAGAGTTGTGAGCCATTCATCAGCCATTATTAATGAAACGTACAAACTTGGTAATAACGTTTGCCTGCTTTTGCTTATTTTGATGAAACTGGTCTGCAGTTAATCCTTGTGTCATGCCGACAACACAGATACAACTTATGCCATAATCTGCCAAACTTCCTGTCCGCCATTTTGATTTTGTCAGATCAGGGGTCGCCAAACTTGTTCCTGGAGGTCCGGTGTCCTGCAGATTTTAGCTCTAACCCTAATCAAACACACCTGAGCAAGCTAATCAAGGGCTTACTAGGTATACTTGAAACACCCAGGCAGGTGTGCTGAGGCAGGTTGGAGCTAAACCCTGCGGGGCACCGGACCTCCAGGACCGAGATTGGTGACCCCTGTCCTTGACTGTTGGCCCAATCTTCACCAAACTGGACTCTGACCGTCTTCAGACCATGCAGACCAACAGATCTTGCGTTCACGCAGACAGATGAACGGTTGTCATGCAGCACGTGCGCAAGCTTGATGTAGCGCTGCCAGATGACATCACCACAACGGAGTGAAGTACTGAGACCAAACCCAATGAGTGTGATCCAGAGCGGACACTGAGCTAACTACACCAGTCTCCGCCGGCTGGGTAACACTGACAAACTATTCAGTTCTATCAACCGAAATCAAACGAGATTCATCACATGACTTTCCAGTCGTTTCGTCTGTGGTCATGTGACCTGTATTGCATTGACATCATTTATTCCCTAAAAACTTCCTGTCCACCATCTTGAATCAGTTTGAGAATCTGTTGTTTTGATGGATCTTTAGGCCGGCCCCGATAACTGCTGCTTGCAGCCATATTTATCATTATTATTGAAGATCAGCGGGTGACTGGAGTGTTGTCTGTGTCACCCGCTGCTCCTCCTCCATGTTGTGTTTCTGAGAGCCGGACACTAATAATCGTGCGTGCAGTACAGCGGCCACAGCGCTTCAGTGTGGACGAACAGCGGTAGTGAAGTGATTGACAACATTAAGACAGCGTGTGTTTGTGTGTTCTGTGGATTAGCCGTAGCTTCACCTGCTAGGTCGTGCATCAGGTCTTTGATGAGGTGTCCGATGATGGCGTAGAGCGTGGCCACGATGATGATGGAGGCCAGGATCATGTAGAAGACGTGTATGGGCAGGTGGATGGCATCTCTGGCCGGCGGGACGTAGCTCTGGAAGTACACCTGCTCCTCCTCACCTGCAGGGGGCAGCAGAGGCGGCGGCTCGCGCGGAGCGGACATCGCTAATCCTGCAGGCACACAAGACAGCCGTTACTGCCGCTGACCGCACCGCAGACTGCTGCAGAGTGTGTCCATATCTCCTGCAGTGTTGCAGAGGTGATCGTACCGTGCGCATGCAGTCCTGCTCGGCTGATGGAGTTTAGCGGCTCACGCCCGTCGCTCAGGTGCACACTCACTGATGCTCGCGTCTGATTGGCTGAGACTCTCAAGGTCAGCGGCTTTATCAATCAGCTGATATTATCCAGCTTTGAGGAGGCTTACAGTCTGTTATGGCTAATCATGGACCCAGAGAACAGACACACACTGATCCTGACACACACACACACACACTGGACTTATATTCGCATGAAACACACTACACAGCGGCTCAGTGAACCCAGAACCGCACAGAGACGGCTTATGGAGCTCAGCACCAGTGTAGAAGAGTGTGTGTTATCCCATTACAGCTGTGTTTGTGCAGTGTTGGAGATTATACATCATCACACACAGAAGACTCAGACACCGGCGGTTGGCTCCTAATGAAGAGAGGCTTTAATTCTACATCTCAATCTGTTTTACAGGAATAAAACAAGACAGAACTCATTTAATGCCTCACGGGTCAGCGATGACCACACGACTCTGTCAGACACAAACACTGGGATTCACTCTTTATTTCTACAGCAGCACAAAGAGCAAGAGGCCTGTGAGGAAGCGTTAAGCCTGAATAATGAACATGTGTGTGTGTGTGTGTTCATAGTGCAGTGATGTGATGGTGCTGTAGGGGGCGCTGGTGTGTGTGGACGGACTCCTCCACCCGCTCCTCCACCTGCTCCTCAGGGCCTCCTTCAGCATCAGCAGATCCATCTTTAGTGCCGAAGACACAGTCTGTGGAGAGATGAGCAGCATTAGTGTGCGCGCAGACACACACACACACACACACACACACACACACACACACACACACAGGACATACACCATAAACTAGCGTCTGCAGCTCTACAATCACTGGCTCTAATCTAAATCTCTAACAGTGTGATCATGCCGTGTTCATACAGTAAATGTCCACTCATACCTCTGCACAAAGATTACAGATGTTTCTGAAACACACGGCGGGCAGATGTGCAGTAATGAAACCCTTTCAGTGACAGAACTGGAGATCAGCAGCAGATGGACACGCGGAGGAGCTTCATATACACACGGCTAAACAGCCGGAACTCTTTATATTGAGCAGATCCGGCATTTCTCTGCCTTCAGCACCGCCAACAGTCAGAAAGGAGATCTCGAACCCAGTGGGACAGGGCTTATATGAGGACACAGCGGGAGACACGTCACTGCACTCACTGGGAGAAGACATGCCACAAACACACCACAACACATGCCTCAACCATGCCACAAACACGCCACAGACACACCACAACACATGCCTCAAACATGCCTCAAACATGCCACAAACACGCCACAAACACACCACAACACATGCCTCAAACACGCCTCAAACACGCCACAAACATGCCACAAACACACCACAAACACACCACAAACACGCCACAAACATGCCACAAACACGCCAGAAACATACCACAAACATGCCACAATTACGCCACAAACTTGCTCTAAACACACCACAAACACGCCTCAAACACACCACAAACATGCCACAAACAACATGCCACAAACAAGCCACAAACACGCCACAAACACGCTCTAAACACACCATAAACACGCCTCAAACATGCCACAAACATGCCAAAAACACGCCACAAACACGCTCTAAACACACCATAAACACGCCTCAAACATGCCACAAACATGCCACAAACACGCTCTAAACACACCATAAACACGCCTCAAACATGCCACAAACACGCCACAAACACGCTCTAAACACACCACAAACACGCCACAAACATGCCACAAACACGCCACAAACACGCCTCAAACATGCCACAAATACACCACAAACACGCTCTAAACACACCACAAACACGCCTCAAACACACCACAAACATGCCACAAACATGCCACAAACAACATGCCACAAACAAGCCACAAACACGCTCTAAACACACCACAAACACGCCTCAAACACACCTCAAACATGCCACAAACATGCCACAAACATGCCACAAACATGCCACAAACACGCCACAAACATGCCACAAACAACATGCCACAAACACGCCACAAACACGCTCTAAACACACCATAAACACGCCTCAAACATGCCACAAACATGCCACAAACACGCCACAAACACGCTCTAAACACACCATAAACACGCCTCAAACATGCCACAAACATGCCACAAACACGCTCTAAACACACCATAAACACGCCTCAAACATGCCACAAACACGCCACAAACACGCTCTAAACACACCACAAACACGCCACAAACATGCCACAAACACGCCACAAACACGCCTCAAACATGCCACAAATACACCACAAACATGCTCTAAACACACCACAAACACGCCTCAAACACACCACAAACATGCCACAAACATGCCACAAACAACATGCCACAAACAAGCCACAAACACGCTCTAAACACACCACAAACACGCCTCAAACACACCTCAAACATGCCACAAACATGCCACAAACATGCCACAAACATGCCACAAACACGCCTCAAACACACCACAAACACGCCTCAAACATGCCACAAACACGCCACAAACATGCCACAAACACACCACAAACATGCCATAAACACGCCACAAACACACCACAAACACGCCACAAACACGCCACAAACACACCACAAACCATGCCACAAACACACCACAAACACACCACAAACACGCCACAAACATGCCACAAACACGCCTCAAACATGCCACAAACAACATGCCACAAACAAGCCACAAACACGCCACAAACAAACACGCTCTAAACACGCCTCAAACATGCCACAAACATGCCACAAACACGCCACAAACATGCCACAA